TTTGCTGGCAACAGCAAAAGCAACTACTATCAGGTTGAGGACGCCGGTATTTTTCGCCGAAAATAACCTCCTACCAGCTTCGAGCTTGGTATAGTCAACGGTCACATAACTGTCTCTATTTTCCATACTTTCTCCTTCTCTTCCCTGGTCATCATTACTTCTTAGCCAGCCGTCTTTTATCGACGCCTCTCCCATATTATCATGATTAATTCACATGTAATTATGAGCGAACTGTTGCGCATGTTTACATTTATCCCCTGCCCATATATATATGTAATTGTTAAATGATAATTTATCAAAAGTTAACGTATGTCCGCTAAATACTCTTCTACATTGCGTCTTGTTTAGGATATAGCTTTACCTAATAATTTGGAAGTAGTATGTAGATGCCATTCCTACGAACATTTGCACTGTTATGCCTTCCGTATGCATAATATTAGGGAACCTTCAGTAAAGAATCCACAACATCTGGTATATCAGGAGAGTTGGGGCTGACATGTTTGGAGTCCAATACACATTCATCCTACCTGCTAACTGGTCCGCTTTCGCAGGCCAGGAAGACAGCATTCAGCAAACTCTTCAGTGCTTCTTACTAGGATCTGCGGCGTCAGTAGTCTCCATTGCCTAAATAAGCACAACACAACCTTACCCATCGCCAAATATATGGTGTTAAGAATCTTGAGGACAGATGACACTGTAGGATGATGTCCGCAGAAAAAGGTGGTGATCAATTAACTGACGTTGAGTTCAATTGCTATCCACTATTTTCTACATTTTGCCATCTTTAGATTTCAGAACAAATGGACTAAGACACATATACTATTCAAGTTCATCTGAAGCGACCTGCTCATGATTTGGCCAGATAATTGAAATTGGTCATGAAGTAAAGTGAACTTAACGAATGTTCTTCTGCGAACAAGAGCCAGTTCGCAAATTTCTGGGTGAAACGCTATTGAGATTACTAGTCCCACGATGTTTAAATATTACTAGGAATGTCCATGTACAGTATCACAATTTTCTCAAAGTGTACGCCATGCTTCCTATTGTCTTTCCATTGTCTTTCTCCGAGTTGTACTACTAATACAAGTGAAAATGCGAGGCACAGGAAGTAAATGAGAAAAAGACGACTCGATCGCTGGGACATACAATTTACGATGAAGGAGGAAGAGAACAACTAGCTGGCCTTCCTTCATGCCCTCGTCTGTCGCAAAAGTACCGGTGGCCAAAAGACTAAAGTATTCAGGAAAGCAATAAACAGGATGCAATTAATAAATTACAACAGCAATCACCCAAACAACCACCAAAGCAGTTACGTAAAGGCGTGTTAAAATGCATTGCAGCAAACCAGACAATAAAGTTGCCGAGGTACAATACCTTCGACGGGCGCTCAGATAAAACGACTGCCCGTGCAACTTCGTCAACCGGTGCCTGCGCAAACAATATGACCAAACAAGCCACACCGAACCCAAATTTGAGGAGCACTCCCGTACGTCAAAATCGTATCGGAAGCCGTCGGCCGCCTTCTCGCACCAGTTGGAGTTGGAGTCTCACACAGACTGGAGCTTAGCGTAAGGCGCCAGATAATGAAACCGAAACACCCACTACCACGGCAGAAAGCATTTGGAGTCGACTAAAGGATCTGGTGCCGTTGTGAGCAAAGCAACAATGCCGGAGAAACTAGCACACGTACGCGCAAATCCAATTCCTCCGCAGATGTCTTGACAACCTTGTGCTGCCGAAGAGCTTGTCCTACACGCTGCTGGTGAACACTAGTATGGCTAAACGGTGAGTGGCAGAACATGGCAGAGGGATGCATCGAGCACTCTTAGAAGACTGCAATCTTCGACAGCACAAATACAATGGGGTTTTGAGTGGGGCAGTTACAAGGTGTACCACACTAATTGGGAAGGACGAAGTGATGCTGTTGCGACAGGTGATCACCAAGAGAGCTAGAGACCTACGGACAAGAAGGGATGTCGAGTTGGGTGATAAGCTGAACAATATATCTTACTCATCACAAGAGATGAACGAAGTCCTCGTACACAACATGTCGTCCAAACAGCTGACGCCTACACATTTGAAAGTGCAAATCCACGAAGCCTGTTCCAACACCACAAATGCCGACCCAGTCAACCTCGTAGCGACGGTCAAATTGACTGTGAAACAATCCGAAGAACCTGAGGAAGCCAAACGGCTCATTCAGCAACAGGTTACCACCTTTGTAATGGCTCACAAACCAAGCGCAATCGTCTCCAAAGCAGAGGAGAAGGCGCTCAAGACACTAAGGGCTGACCACTATATTTTTGTGCCCCCAGCATACAAAGGTCGTTCGACGGTCATGTTGGATAAGGCCAACTACATTTAGAAAGCGAAAACCTTACTGGAGGACCGGCAAGCTTACCTCTCGTGTGACGACGCACCGATGAGGAAGCTGGTGACTCAACTGGATAAGAT